ACTTCAGAACCATGTGTCGGCCCGGAATTTCAAAGCCCTAAACACTTTGGACCCTGCGAAGCTCCGCAAGCCCCTAAGTCCTGTACCGTAATCTTCAACCCCAGAACCCGAAGGACCCGAACCCGCAAGAATCCAAACTCCAAGTCTTAAGCCCTCTATAAGCCCTATAAACCCTATAAACCCTAAGCCCTAAGCCCTATAAGCCCTATAAGCCCGATAAACCCTATAAACCCTATAATGCGGAAACCCTAAACCCTAAACCCTAAAGAAGCGCGGAGGCCCCCAGACCTTGAGTTTCAACCTGAAGCCCGGAAGACCCTCGGCCCCAAGCCTTCCAGACCCTGAAAGCTCTACCTGGGACTCTAATCACCTACAGTTTTTAGGGTTTTAGGAGTTTTAGAGGTTTAGGGGGTTTAGGGGTTTTAGAGGTTTAGGGGTTTAGGGGTTTTAGAGGTTTAGGGGGTTTAGGGGTTTTAGAGGTTTAGGGGTTTAGGGGTTTTAGAGGTTTAGGGGTTTAGGGGTTTTAGAGGTTTAGGGGATCTAGGGTTTAGGCTTATAGGGTCTACCTGGGACTCTAATTGCCTGCAGTTTTAAGGGTTCTACCTTCTAATTAGGGGTCATGGCTGCTAAACATTGCTAAACTGTAAGTAAAAAGAGTTGGCTGCTAAACATTGCTAAACTGTAGGTAAAAAGAGTTACAGGCATACTTTTCAGAGCCCATACCGTAAACCGCAAAGCACGAAGATCTGCAACCTGTCAAACCCCTCAGACTCGAAGAGATCCTAAGCTCGAAAGGCCTATACCCATCAAATCCGAAGCCCTAACACCTAAAGCAGAGCCCAAACTCCAAAAACCTACATCCCTCAAACCCTAAGACCTAACTTTCGTTTTCCAAACCTTAAACCTCGACAGGCCCAGTCTGCCGTGGAGCTTGGAGCCCAGATCTTTCCTAGGAGGTCCAGGGTTTCAGAAAGGGCCGACACCATTACTTGGAGGTTCTTTTAAGGGTTCCTTTAAGGGTTCCTTTAAAGGGTTCTATAGGGGGCTTTTAGGGTTTAGGGTTGAGGGGTAGTTATAAGTGGGGTTATAAGTCACCTAATTTGGGCAATAACTATAGTTACCCGACTTATAACCCCACTTCTAACCACCCATGAACCTCCAAGTAAGACTAAGAGCTCCCGAGCCCGAGTGAATCTAAAACATGGGTCTCGGGTGTAGGGTTCAGCGTTTAGGGTTGAAGGTTCCGGGTGCAGGAGGTCTAAAGTCTAAGAACTTTCTAACATGGCCGGCTGGGTTCCTGTTCATGGGTTTGATTATAGTCTTCGCGGTTTTAGGAAAGGTCTAGAGCTGCGAAGGAGCTTAAAAAGGGTTCCAGATGGTGAGTTTTTGTTTTTTTTTTGTTGCAGGGCATTGTCCAACTATGTTGAACGTGCTTTCAGCTACCATGATAAGAACATAGAAAATACCAGATTGCTGCGGAGACGCACATGGCATGATTTTGTGCTTTCGGGGCCTTTGGCCTAAAGGCCTGAGGCCAAGAAGGATCGTAGGCCCAAACCGCGACTCGGCCTCGGCGAAGTAAGCTGCCTCCTCCAAATTCTGTGGATGACCGCCAGTGAAAACCGCATGACAAAACAAACCATGACAAATCTTGCGAAAAAAACGTGCGAGGCACGCCGCTGCAAGGCCAAGTTGTGAGTTCACCGGCGCTGTAGTTTGTACTAGGTTCCTCACCAAGAACTCAGCACTAGTTGTAGGTGGCTAGAGGGTGTCGCGTTTCTTAAGTGTCTTGACAATCTGGGAGTATTCGGGCTGTGTCCAGAGGCACAGCCCCACTGCCCAATCCGAAAAAGCTTACTACTTAGCGCTGCGAGGTTGCCCTGGCATCTTCCAACAAGAAGTTTTGGATGAAAAGCAATGCTTACCACGTGTGATGAATATCCCAACTGGCCCAAACCTTGGTTTTCTTGACTAGGGTTCCCCTAAGGCCTAAATCCTAAACCCTAAACCCTCAACCCTAAACCATCAACCCTAAACCCTAACCCTAAACCTACCTATCTCAAGAGTGCTTTCATGAGACTCGAGAACGCTGCAAGCATCTTCGCACTTTCGGATCCAGGGCTCCCGGCTGCACATCACCAGTGTCATCTGTAGGATCGAATAAAATGTTCATGAAGGGGCCTGAATAATCATTATATAAGATTACTCTTCAGCGTTCCTTCTTACATAAAACGGCGCACCATGAAATTCCTAATATACCCCCACCAGGCCTAGTTCCAGGTATCCAGTGGCTTCACTATGGCTTCGGGGGTCCGGGCTCCAGGGCTGGGGTTCAGGGTCTCGATGAGCATGTTCCTACAGCTGTAAGGATTGGACGGAAGCACCTGAGACAACGTGCCGGTAGCCTCGCTGGAGCCCAGGAAGCTCGTGAGCAAGGCGCAGCTGCGCTGGCAGGAGCAAGGTGATGTCGTGGACGTCAGCCGCCTGCACATTACTGGTGTGGCTTCACTTCTTTAGGGTATAAGAGACGGTAGGTCCCCAACCAAATAGTCAAATCCAAGGTGCAAATCCCAAAGCCAAGTCCACATACTTGTAAACCCCGCTTGCCGAAGACAACTCCCTTTATCTGAATAAGCGAAGTTGAGGTAATGTAGGGGCCTTAATAATTAGAATAGGGTTTTGGGGACTCCTTATTATAATTGTAGTGTACTTTCCCCCATACCCTATTCTAATTATTAAGGCCCCTAACTTAGATCCATGACCATCAAGGGGTCGACTCTGCCGGGCTCTGTGAAGTAGAAGTTCGGGGATTCGGGGCCGCAACCCCTAAGCCCTACACGTCTGCAGGTCTATTTCATGCATGCTTTGAGCCCAAAATGTTATCGGCAAGTCCTTGAGAAGCTCATGGTTTTTGGCTTGCAGTTGACGGATTAGGGTTCGGGGTTTAGGGTTCTAGGGTTCAGAGACTACAAATTAGATCCCAGTAGGTTGACACAGGATTTTAGATTTCCAGGTGGATGATATTACCCTGAATCTTAAAGCTAAACCCGAAACCCTGAACCCTGAACTGCCCCGAATGAGATTCAGATGGCACCTGCAGTGTGGTGTGTCTTGTTTCACAACCACAGCCCTCGTGGCCGGGTTTGTGGGCCAGAACCCGGCCCTTCCAAAACCCCTTAGGGCCTTTTTCCGGTCTTGCTGGTGCCACGTCGGCGCGCGCTCAATTCCAAGCCTGCAAAAGACTATACAGCTCATCCACCAACCTGGAGCAAAAGACAGGAAAGGTGGGCCTTAAGTGCTCATAAAAAGAGCAATCATCACACCATACTCCCCTCATCCTGGAGTAAGATGTGCCCAGAAGGGCATGGGGCCTGCCGTTCTTACGGCCGGCTGCCATGCCAGTGGAACCTTGCTAGGGGTCTCTACGCAAGCAGGCTGCATGTCCGCATGGTCGTACACACTCTGACAAGTAGCAGAGTGTTGTAAATGCTGGGCAAGGCGACTGGTGTTCCAAAACTCAGTGCCGCAGCGCTCGCAACGTGTGCCCCAAGCTAGACGTGGTCCGATGGCACGCTGCTGATGCTTGCGCGCCTTGTGAACCGCCAAGCGTCGGGCGTCCAGAAACGACAAGCCACAGGCACCACATGTGTAGGTCAAACCCGGGTGAATCGTTTGGATGATAGCTGGCATTTCGCTGGCGTCTGCACAGCGGGGCTGGAGGACAACGCTGGCATGGTTGTGCTTGCATGTCCGCAGGTAGTTCCGGCAGAGTTTGTCGCAGTGGTTGGGCAGACACGACAAAAGTTGCTCCGGAGGAGGCGGAGTGGTGGTGCAAAGTGCAACCGGCCAAGCCTCACCTGAAACCCTGCGGAGTGCTTCCCAGGAGAGCTGGTACCAAAGTCCATCAGCAAGTAGCCCTTGCCAGACCTCGCGGGAGCCGGTCTTCAGCAGGTGCAAGAGCGTAGTGGCCCTCGCTTGGGCCAGGCAGTCCTCGACAGTGGGCAGACCCAGAGCTGCCGCCACTTCCTGATTGCTGAAGCCAGTGGACGATACACCCGTGATGGGCCGAAACGCCTGGCGCATGGCACACCGTAGCGGGTCGAGGGTCATATCGTGCTCTCTGGTGTTGCGGGGCGTCCAGAAGCCTGCCCCGAAGAGGAACTTGGGAAAGACTCGCTCTTCCAAGAGCCGCACCTTCTCCTGCTTTGTCAAGTCCTCGTTGTAGAGGAGCCGCCGGCGCAGGGGCTGAAAGAGCTGTTTGAGAAGATGCGCCCGGTGCTGCAAGTTGGGCTCCTCAGACAGGTTGTGGGACACCACGGTGCCCAAGTGCACGTAGGTCGGCACCAAGCGAAGGTGTTGGGTGCCGTGGAGGTGTGATTCGAATTGCACCCCCGGTGCGGCAAGGCATAGCAGCTGTCGTCGGGTGTCCCGGCTGCCAGGTCCTTCGAAGTGTATCACAGCCTCCGTCTTGCCTGGGCCGAAGTTTGGATCCAGTCCAGCCCGGCTCAAACCGCGGGTGACAAGGTCCGTCACACGTTGCAGTGAGGCGGCAAGCAATGGTGGTGCAACGGGCCCGACGAGCACGGCTGTGTCGTCAGCCCATGTGGGCATGATCGACGCATCGGCAGTGGAGCAGATCGCCACATAGTGCCCCTCTGCCATCAGGATCTCTTCCACATGCTGTAAAAATCGGGCATAAACGAAGGAGAACAGCAAGTCGGCTATCGGTGATCCTGGTGCAGTGCCGCTTCCAGAGACATACGGGGCCTGGGAGGGGGCTTCCATGGAGAACCATGTGGTACCCAACTGTGATTCAAGATAGCGGACCAGGGGCTCAGGTAGCTGCAAAGCTGATATGAGACCCCCAGCTTGCATATGCCGCACATAGTGTTCTTGATCGTCACGGAAGGGAAACAAGGCTCGCGCCCTTTGGTACAGTTGGTCTTCTGTCTGTAGGGTCTGCGACCGAACCAAGGAGTCCCGGACCAGGGAGTAGTAGGCAGCCCTGCTGTCGATGAAAAGCGCCCCTCCGGTTTGCCGGCATGCCTTGAGCCTTGCGAAGTGGGCTCTGACCATGACACTGGCATCTTCTAGGCGTCGGCGGGGCAGGCCACCGAACTGGTTCTTGGACTTGTGCTGCTCAAGAGCCAGGACTAGCTGAGTCCGGTAGGCCTTCTGGAGGATTTTGCCAGTGGGCTCCAGCAACAAGATTGAGCGCCAGCCTGCAGGGGTGCCGGCTTGCTGTTTACTTTTAGGGATGGCCCGTGCAAGGCCCCCGTTGTGTTGCAACGGTCCACTGCAACGCACGACACTTTTGGCCAGGATCGGGAACAGCAATTCGGCGGTTGCCATGGCATCAGCTTGAAACAACTCAGCGGGCACACCTGACACACCCGGAGCTTTTCCCTTCTTCAGGGCCAGTGTGGCAGATGCAATCTCGGCCACAGATGGTAAGCTTGTCATGTCAACCTTGCATGTGGGGGGCTGCACCTCGTTGAAAAGTTCTGCGAGCTCACCCCCCGTGATCTGGCGGGCTCTTTCGGGCTTTGCAAAGTGCTCGCCCAGTAATGCCAAGATCTCCTCTTCACAGGCCGCGGTCGAGGCGCCGTCCGAGATCTGATGTAGGAGTTGTGGCGCCCGGAAGCGTCGCCCCGTCCGCAAGATCGCCCGGATGGAGTACGCAAACTCTGCGGCGCCCTTTCCCCTGGCTGTTTCCATGGCTCGTCTGGTGAACTGGGCTTTATCGGCCCGAAAGCTCTCGCCGATGCCTTTGTGCAATGCCGAAAGGGCGAAACCAGCGCGGGCCAAACGGCAAGAGAGGCGGTCCAGTCGGCCGGCCTGCGACCGGGCCTGCTCACCATGGCCGGACCAGGCAGCAAAGCATTGGAAAAGCAGGCCTCGGGCATAGGTCTTTGTCAATCGCTGGTTGACCGTCCGGACTTGTCTCCGTGTAAGAATCAGGCGCAGGGACAAGTCCGACAGCACGGGGTTGCGAGGCCTCGGGGGCGGCGGTGGCAGGTGCTGTGCAAGAAATCACTGCACGTGTCCGAGCAGGGCCTCCAGATGGGTTGTGGCATCGACTTCCCAAGGCACTTGGGGGGCACTGGCTAGGGCTGCCGCTGCAATTTGCTGCCCGCCAGCCGTGCGCAAAGCCTCCGCTGAGATCCTGGGCCTTGGATCGGGACAAGGTGCGCAGACTGTGGCGGCAACCGAGCCCATGATGGGGGAGTGGTCGTATCCCTCACGCAAGTCTCCCAGACAAAAGTTAGGAGCCGTACTGAGCCTGGATCGCCAAGCAGCAGGGACGCAAACATAGTCCAGCAGCTTATGTGTCTGCCCGTCAGGACTGGTCCAGGAGACCAGGCGTTGTCCGAGCCGGTCAACTTGTGCTGTGGGCTGGAGTGACGCTGCGTCGCAAAACTGTTGCAGCTGCTTGGCATTCTCGCTATTGGGAACAGATGCCAAGGTGTCGCCGTTGCTCCCGCATCGGTCGTACGCCGCGTTGGCATCAACCATAAGTAGGAGTGTGTGGCCTGGCGGAATACGGTTGCAGGTCGCACGCATATGCGCCCACCATCTTTTGCTTGCATCGGCTCCTGCAGCAGTGGTGGGGGCATGGGCCGACACACAGGCGAATTTGACGCGGCCGACTCGAAGCAACAAGACAAGCAGCCTGGGTTCTGCATGGAAGAGGCTGAAGCTGTCCCGCACGGGTTTAAGGGCCATGTCAGAAGAGTGGCCCCATGCTCTGGTCTTAGAGATCCAGAGCTGACAACCGTAGCTGCCTTGAGCGTCACATCCCGAGGTAGCAATCCAGTAGTGATCGGATGCTGAGATGCCAGTGTTGGGATCACGGGCTTCTTGCAGCCCCGCAATGGCGCACTGGCTTGCTTGCAAACCTGCATCGAGAAGAGCCCTGGCAGGTCGACTCCTGGCAGAGAGGCAGTTGTAAGTAATTGCGCTGAAAGCCAGCCTCCATGTTTTGGGCGCTAAGGCTGCACTGCGGATTGACGATGTGGCTGCCTCAGTTGTGGGCCTTAGCTGACAGGAGGGCAGGTTCCAACAGCCACTGTGATCCAAGGGTGGTAGTTGTACAGAGAGCTTTCCCGTGCCTGAGGTCAGCCAGAGTCGGTGGACGGTGCCGTCATCAATGCCACTTCGGAGCACGGAATCATTGAACTTGAAGCCGTCTGCGATCCAACACCCATTGGCCGTTTTTGCAACGGCATCTGCTGCCTCATTCAGTGGTACACCTGAGTGGGCTTCTACCTTCCAGGGCTTGACCTGTAGGCCCTTGGTTCGGGCGAAGAAGAGGAGGCTTTGCACAGCGAGGCCAATGGGGTCATCGGCGGCGGCTTGTGCACGCCCGAAGGCAACATCCAGAGCTGCCTGGCAGTCAACCGCAAAGGTGACCTGTCGAAGGTTGTTGGCTATGGCGAAAGCAGCCGCATGCAGTAGGGCCCATAGCTCAGCTCGAAAGGCATTGACCGTGGTGGCTGGTTCAGGGACTTGGCCCGCGAGCGCGCCAAGACGACAGATCGCAGAACCGTGTTACGACGGCCACAAGAGACCAGCTGGCGCGGCGCGCCTTGGGGTCGTACGACCCATCAGTGTAGACCAGCACTGCATCGAGGTGCTCAGCAGAGCAAGGTGGGCTCAGCAAGTTCCAGGTGTGACGCGCGGAGGGCAGTAGTCCGCGAGCGCGCAGAACAAGATCAGGGAGCGGCATCAAATGTGCCGAGAAAGCTTCGGCAGCAATGTCGCCGTTCACGCCCCAGGCTGCACCGGCCTCCGGTTTGGGCACTGTGCGCGCTAGCTCAATCGTGGTCTTATCTGCAGGCTTTATGGCGGCTTTATGCATCGGCTCCTGGATAGCGCGCCGCCCTAAAGGCGTCGGGATGTGCACGTGTCTGAGTTCCGCAGAAATTTGAAGGAGCGAAGTGCCGGAATTCGTGTCTGCAGACACACGCCTGTCTTGTGGGAGAGGTTTCTCCTCGATGACATGCTCACTTTCCGTGTCGGGGGGAAACACTGCCCGTTTACCTCGTCGCACTGGCAAGGGTAGTCCGGCCAACGGTAGGTTGGGCGGAACGCTGACTTGCAGGAAATGTGGTGAGTGTGGCGAGGGGTAAAGCAAGGTGCGCCGTGTCGATCCAGGCGGGACCGAGATGAAGACAGGTGTTGTCCACTCCAAGACCAACGGGTCGCGGAAGGTGGTGCCGGCAGGAAGGTATTCACCGTTCTGCAGGAACTCGACCGCCTCGTCAAAGCCTGGGGTGAGTGGTTGGTCCATATACAAGGACAGGGCTGGATGTCCAGGGCCAAGGACCACGATTGGCTGGTTGCCACGAGCGAAGGTGCCAAAGTGGCGCTGCCTATCATCAATGCGGAGTTGCAGAGTCCTCTTCAAGGCTTCTTTGCTGCGGACCTGCAGGGTTGCAGAGAGCGGGTCAGCGGCCAGGGCTTGCATATGAGGCACAGGAACGGGTAGTGCGAAGTAGCGAAGTTGCGGGAGAAGCTCATACAGTCGGCTGGGAGTTTCAACCTCTGCAAAGTAATCCCCTTGCCGAATCTGGATAAGATCTCCTGTCGCCAGTTCGCGATTCGCTGCTGTGTGGGCAAGGCCGTTAATATATGCGGCGAAGCCGCGTCTCGCATGCGCCTCAGACAGAAGGTGGACCGGGCGGGTGCCTGCGTCGACTGAGAAACCCTGCAAAAGCGACCCGTCGACTGAGAAGTCTTCGAGCACATGAATGTCCGGCCCCTCAGGGTAGATGAGAAAGCATATGAAGTACGTGTTGAGCCTCGCGGGCACCCGTGGTGATGCCGCTGAGATCTGTAGCAGTGGTCTTTGCGGCATCCGGCCTTGCAGCGCCAGAACAAAGAGGAGCTCCGTAAGAGAGTCCAGAACACTGGCATGCATCCATGGTTGTGGCGCCAGACGAATGAGCGTACCCCCTCCCACTAAGATGAAAGTAACCGTCGGAGGCGCGCTGGCGGAGCTTGAGGCCACTGCTGCAGTGGAAGTCAGGGTGGTGGGTTCGGAGCCAAACATGCCTCCCAGAAGGAGGCTGCTATGCAGGTTTGGCATGCCGGTCACATCCAGCTGCAGGCTCAACCATTGCAGGGTGTCAAGTTGTAGGGGGAGCACATCCCATATACGCCCGGCCGAATCCAGGAGAAATACAGCATCTTGTGCAACCGCAAAATTAAGAACCGGAGCCAGCGCTGGGCACTCTGTGGCGATCGCATCAAGCACTGTGATTTTTTCGCAACCTGGCGTCAAGACGACCGTGCAGACTGTACCTCCAACCTTCCTGGTGTCAACGGCAACAGACAAAGAGCTTAGAGGCCAACCTGGAGGGGTGAGCGTGATCTGCGGCACTGGCAGGTCTGGGATGGGCGGCTGCAGGAGTTGGGCGCAGATGGTGGCCTCGGCACACGAGGCGATGGCATCGTGGAGGTAGTCGCTGGCAGCCCATGTTGGGGTTGACTTCCGCACTTCGTGGTGTCTATGCCGGTCAAAGACACTGTATTTTCCGGCGCCAGTTCCTGTCGAAGTGGCGTCCTGACAGAGTCTGAGTTGAGCGGCAGACAGAGTCAGTCGGCCTTGTGAATGCAGGGAGCTGGGAAGGATTTGGAGGTCTCCCTCATCAAATTTATTAGGGCATTCTGGCCTCAGAGCACTGCCCACCGACAGCAGCGAAGGGGGGTCCCCTGGGTATGCGCGCGGGCGCATGGGGAGCACGGGTGCTGAAGAGCCCGGTGGCGCAAGGCTTGGTGCAAGATCCGCCTTGGACTTTGGTGGGGCTTGTCTGCCGTCGCCAACTGTAGGTTCCGACAAGGTACCGACCTTCCAGTGGCTGGTAAGCAGGCAGGGAAGGGCTCCAAGGGCCGCAGCAGGAGCGTGCTCATCTGGGCAGGAGGGCTGAGTGGTGGCACGGTGGTGGCCAGCAGTAGGTTCCGACACGGCACCGACCTTCCTGCTGCGAGGTTGTGCTGTGTGGACGCATGTCCGGAGGTGTTGGTCTGCAGTAGGTTCCGACGTGGTACCGACCTTTCTGCAGCAAGGAGTTGGGCAATCTGCCGGCACATACTCGCGAGGGCTTGGAAAAAGAAAAGGCTGAGGGGGCTGTCTGATCGGAGTGGCAGCATACACTTGGATTCCAGCCATCTCCTCCCCTTCATCGGCAACAGGGTCATGCAGGACGTTCATGCGGCCTTGTGCGATGGTCGCTGTGGGTCCCGGCGCGCCGAAATAGAGCCAGTCAACAGAGAGTGTGGGCTCATCCAGGCGCCTGACTGTCCGCCCATCCTCTGACCGCAGGACCAGGTCTCCGCTCAGGAGTCGGGTAGCCAGCTGGTCTGGGACATTGCATCCCTGCGCAGTAACGAGCCCGGCAATCTGTAGATCGGTTGTCGCTGGGCCGGCTATCACGGTACAGAGGCCCCCTCCAGTGGGCCTTAGGTCGACAACGACAGCTTGGTGGCCGGGCTCGGCCCACACCGGCGTGAGCACAACTTGTGGAAGGGCGAGGTTGGGTAGAGCTTGCCTGTGGAACCGGGCCTGCCTCACAACATAAGGCACCGAGGATGCAGAGTCGGCGAGGTAATCCTGTGGCGACCAGTTCGGACCCGCATTTCGAGAGAAAACATTCTGTCGAGGTTCACAAACTGCATAACGCCCAGCATCACTGGCCTGGGGGGCAGCAAGTACCGCCTGAAGTTCACCCACGGGGAGGTCAGGCAGGGGCCCTGTGAGCTCTGCTGGCAGTAGTTCAATCTGCAATGCAAGCATATAGGACAGCATGGATGGCCGTCGGGGGCCGGTGTTTGCTTTGGCAGTCGGCAGCACATGTTGCACGGCTCCTGCCTCCTGCAGGGGAGCTGGCTGGAAGGCTGGTGGGCTCGCAAAGGTAGCGAGCTGCGGCTGCAGCTGCACACACGGAAGGCACTGAGTGGACCTGTGGTTCCTGGGCCTGTGCGGGATGGTAACGACCTCGCAGAGTGGCTCTTGAAAACGAACCCTTAGGCCAGTTCCCTGCCTGCGGGACATGCCATCTGCTTGGCAGCTCTTCAGACGGGGCCTAGAGATGCTCGGGTAAAAGGGCCGAACACCGTGGAAGGAAAAAACCGGCTGTACACCAAGCATTGCCTCAGATGACGGTGTGGTCGTCGAGGGGAGGATGGTGACAGTCCTCGCACTTCCGTCCTGTCTCTCTGTGTCTCGGGTCTGGCCCACACTGCGGTGTGCCCGGACCAGAGGCAACACCGGTGTGGACTCAGACTTCCGACTCGACAGAGAAGCCAGGCCAGGACCAGGAAAGTCACAATCCTCTCCCTCGGTCAGGTCGGGCTCCTCTTCGTACCATCTCGCTTGAAAGAGGGGGCTGCCTCGCGAGCTGGCGAGTTCTGCAGCCTGTCTTGGATCAGCATCCTGCAGTGCCACACAGTTGGCCCACAGGTCTGCGATCAGCTTCGCTTCAATGACACTCAAGAAGTCTGGTTCCTCCATCACTGAATGCCAGAAAAAATCTGATGACGGCCAGGCGCCCTCTGCAGACACTGCCACCTGGGGAGCATCTGCAGGCTCTGCGGCGAAAGGGCGGTGGCCTAGGCAGGGGGCATCGCGTTGTCGGCAGGCGCGGGCTTCAAACTGGGCTCCTCCGTCCTGCTTCGTCTCCTCGGTGTGCCAGCGTCCGTCGCCGGCATCTTGGCAAGGAGGGCGTCCATGGTGACTCTCAGTTTCTTCTGCGCCTGCTCGACCGGGTTCTCTTCCGCTCCCGTCGAGCTGGCCGCACCTGCCACATCCGTCATGAGCTCGAGGTCGGATTCCTCGTCCTCCTCCTCCTCCTTTGTGACCTTTTCGCTGTTGGCAAGGTCGCGGATGCACTTCCGGGCCTGCGCCACCCTCTGTAGTGCTTCGGCCTCGGTGGCATCGAACTCCTCCATGAGCTCTTGGTACTTCTTGGCGCCTTTCTCCAGCGCTGCAACCGTGGAGTTGAGGAAATCTGCCCAAGCTTGTTCCTGGGCACGCCGATTCACCCTCGTTTCCTGGAGCTGCTTCTTGGCCGCCCCCAGCTGGGTGGTCTGGGTGTGGAGGGTCCTCGTGAGTACTCGTCCTTGGTCGACCTCCATCTTCGCCATTGCTTCTGCCACTGCAGGCGGCATCGCCTGCTGTCCAAAGGCAGAACGTAGGGCCCCAAGAAGCTCCTGTATCTTGCAGTCCTCCGCCGGTGGTCCTGTGGGAGGCTTGGCTTCCGCATTGGGCTTCCACGGCGGTGTCGGGGCTGTCCAGACATAAGGTTCGCCTTTGTGCTGTCCTCCTTGAGGCTTGCCTTTGCCCTTGCCCCCTTGGGGATGCTGAGGCCGCTGTCTCGGCGACCTCGGTGATCTCGGGTGACGGCTGCTGTCTCGTCCACGGCTGGTTTCCGCTGTAAGCCGACGGCTGGCTTTGTTCCGCAACTTGTTTCCAGTGTCCTCCACACCACGGACAGTGGATACAAGCTCCCTTGTTCATCACCCGACAGGTAGTGCACTTCCACGCTGGCGTCGCCATGGTTGCTGCCTGTTGTCGAAGCAGTCTCTCCGCCTGCAGTGGCAGCAGAGACTGCGAGTGATGTCCACGAAGCGTCCTTTGCGCCGCTCGGACTTCCTCTTCCGGGAAGGGAGCGCCGGACACAAAGGATCTCAGCAGTGTGCGCGCTTTCGTTCGCTGTTTGCGCGCCCTGCGGTGCTGCGAACTTTCCTGAGAAGTCCGCGTGGCGAAAGAGGCACAGAAAAACACCTAGGGTGAACAGCTGCGCTTGCATTCACTCGGTCGTAGGGCAGAAACCCAGAAGGTCCTGCAAATCCAGCCACGCAAAAGGCGTGGGGATGTGGCCAGTCGAGCCTCACGAATGTACAGCTCGGTGGCGTCCAGTGGACTATAATCCCAGGGGAAGAATAGGCCAGGACGTAGATGGGGGTGCCAATCCCCAAGCAAAAGGCACAGTGATGGGCGTGCCAGACCCGGAGAAAAGGCACAGGGGCGCTACTCCCGAAACCAAGCGCAGATGTGAAAGCCCTCCAGAAAAGACTGGACTCCTGGGCTCGCGGGCAGTCGTGGGCCGCCGCGCGGGGTTGTCAGCTGCAGGCAGAAATGGGACTCAGAGAGAAACTACCACTTCAAGGCGCTGCAGCCGAAACGCCTCCCCTTAGGGCCTTAGGGTTTAGGGTTAGCCTTAGTTAAGTACTATGCCTTAAATCGTACTAGGGCTCTTACTGTAACTTAATGTTCAGGAACAGTCCTTATATCATGTTAGGGGTCGTGCTATAATTTAATGTTAAGGAAAGGGGTCCTACTATATTTTCACTTATAGTCGTTTGCTTAAGGGATCTGGAAGGTTTGGGACCCTAAACCCTGTAGGTCCCTTAAAGGAACCCTGAACCTTAGAGATCCCTTGCAGGAACCTTTAGGGATCCCTAAACCCTATAGATCCCATTTTGTTTAAAGGAACCCTTAAGAAACCCTAAACCCTATGGGTCCCATTTTTGTTGAAAGGAACCCTCAAGGAACCCTCCCGTATAGATCGCTTAACGGAACCTGTAAGGAACCCCGAATCCTTTGGATCCCTTTTAGATCCCTTGACGGAGCCATTAAAGAAGCCTCTCTTATAGATCCCTTGAACAAACCATTAAGGAACCCTGAACACTATAGATCCCTGATAGATCCGTTATTAAAGGAACCCTGAAGGAAACCTCTCTTATAGATCCCTTAAAGCGACCTTTAAGGAACCCTTTAAAGGAGTCTAAACCCTAAACCCTAAACCCTAACACGTAAACCCTAAACCCCTAGACCACGAACCCTTTAAAGGAGTCTAAACCCTAAACCCTAACACCTAAACCCTAAACCCCTGAACCCTAAACCCCTAAACCCTAAACCCCTAAACCACTAACCCCCTAAGCCCCTAACCCTTTAAAGGAGTCTGGGAATGTCCGGCCCCTAAACCCTAAACCCCTAAACCCCTGAGCCCCCAACCCCCTTTAAAGGAGTCTGGGAATGTCCGGCCAGGACATCACCGCTTTGGTCTTATGGCCGGCCTTCGGCCACGGGATCGAGCTGGAGGCTGGGGTTTAGGGCTTTGGGGGTTTAGGGTTTAAGGTTTTAGGGTTTCAGGTTTTAGGGTTTATGGTTAAGGGTTAAGGTTTAGGGTTTAGGATTTAGGGTTTAGGGTTGAGGGCTTAGGGTTTAGGCTTTAGGGTTTAATTAGGGTCCTAGGGCTTAGGGTTGAGGGCATAGGGCTTAGACGGTGTCTTATTTAGGGGCTCCTGTATGAGATGGGTCCCGTGGGATTGGATCTTGTTTTGAGGTTTCAGAGGGGTGAAGCTAATTTTTGATTCACATACGGGCTGCTTCTTCTTCTTCTTGTTATGGTTGTTGGTTTCGGGCTTGCTGGGGTTATCACAATCAGAACTCCAAACCGTTTTCGTCCTTCGGGGTTCAAGTCTACAGGGCTTTGGGTTTATGGTCTACAGGGTTTGCTCTAAACATCTATGAGCCCTAAGCCCTCTAGGAAACCTCATCGGGGCCCGAAAGCCATTGTCATTTTACGGGTCTGAATCTTATAACCTCGATATCAACTCAGTAAAATACACCCGAAAGCCCTCTTCTAATGTTTCATGACCCCCCCCAATCCCCTAAACTCAAAAACTCTAAACCCTAAACCCACAACACCCCTAACCCCTAAACTCAAAAACTCTAAACCCTAAACCCTAAACCCACAACCCCCGAAACCCTAAACTCAAAAACTCTATTTCCTAAACCCACAACCCCCCTAACCCAAGAGACTTAACCCACAGGCTGACGAGATGGTTCGCACAAGTTCTGAGGAGCCGGAGGCACGGTTTAGGGTTTAGGGTTTTTGCGTTTAGGCTTTGCGTGAAAAGGGTTACGGGTTTAGGGTTTAGGGTTTAGGGGTTTAGGGTTTAGGGTTTAGCGTTGAGGCTCTGCTGGTTAAAAGGGTTACTGGTTTAGGGATTTGGATGAGAAGTCCCTGTGCCAGCTCCCCGGGTGAA